AGGCACCTCAGAGCGGCGTTGTTTGTTCTCCTTCCACGCGTTAACACTCCCTTGCGCCTCAATTTCAATGCACTTGCAGCCGACGTCAGAGGGGCGTTGCTTGTTCTCCTTCCAGGCGTTAAGAGACCCATGCGACCCAGGCAAAAACAGGTCTCCTTCCTGAGGTCGACGTCAGAGGGGCGTCGTTTGGTCTCTTTTCACATGTTAAGAGCCCCATATGACCTATATAGGCAAAAAGACGTCTTTTTCCCTGCCCCAAACTCGAGGCACCCTGCAGCCGACGTCAGAGGGGTGCAGTTTGAGTTCTCCTTCCACGCGTTAAGAGCCCCATTTGACCTAAGGAAAGAAACGTCTTGTTCCTTACCCGAAATTCGAGGCACTCTGCAGCGGACGTCAGAGGGGCGTTTTTTGTTCTCCCTCAACACGTTAAGAGCCCGATGCGACCTAGGCAAAAAGACGTCTTGTTCCCGGCCCCAAATTCGAGGCACCCTGCAGCCGACGTCAGAGGGGCGTTGTTTGCGTTCTCCTTCCACACGCTAAGAGCCCCACTTGACCTAGGCAAACAGAATGTCATTTTCCCTACCCCAAATTCAAGGCACCTGCAGCCGACGTCAGAGGGGCGTTGTTTGTTCTTCTTCCACGCGTTAAGTTAAGAGCCAGCGAGCTGACTTTGTGCAGCGCTGGTCTGGCAATGAACCCTTGAGCCAGTGCTGACTCCAGATTGATCAGCCCCAGTTGATTAATAGGGGACTGTCCACTGGCGTCGGCGGATCGCGTGGCGATTTCAATAAACATAACATAAATAAAACATCCTCTGCTCCCGAAAGCTTTCAATTGCCTTGGCTTTTGTTCGGGCCAAGGCTTTGATTCTTCCAACCCAACCCCCCACCCCCCCCCCCTCCTCTGTCCGCCCTACCCCCCTTGTCCCTGGCCTGTTGTAGGTGCCACTTCCGGCTGGGCCAGGTCTGGGCCATGGAATCCCCGAGCTCCTGGCATCGCGGGAGAGACCTAAATCTCGCAAGCCAAGCTGGAAGATCCTCAGCACAAACCTGCTGAGTTGACCGGCCCGAATTCAAGCTTCGTGGGCCAAATAACGCAAAAGCTCGACCTGCTTGAACTTGCCATCTGCTTTAAGTTGGAATCCCAAAAGCTCACAAAGGCAGCAATTGGATAGGGGAAGCACCCTAACCACTGGCATCAAGCCAAGGCAACCTTGGCAGGCTTACGCCGAAGCGCAAACCGAAATTGAAAATCAACCTCAGGCATTGAAGGATGCCAAACAGGTTCTTTGAAGCAAAAGGGCATCTTTGAAGCGTGGCCATTTTGCATTCCCAAATTGGCCAATTCCCTTTTGACACCAGCCAAATTCGGATAGGACCCGGATTTGCCGGGCTTTCAAAACCTGTCTGTCACTTCTGAAAATTCACACCACCTATTCATTTCTTCCAACAAGGTAGTAAACTGTGGATGGACAAATCTGCTTGCACCAGTTGGTAGGCGTTTTTCTTCCATCCCAACTAGTTCCTGGCGTGGATATTGTCCGGTCCAAAGCGAAAGGGCAACCCTGCTATATGTGCTTCGCACACAAACAATCCCACACATGAATTTTGGAATCCGGGAAAGTGCGTCCTGTTTGTGTAGGACAAAGCTGCCTGCCCCCTCTTGCCAAAGGAAAATTGCCTACCTCATCCAGGCAGCGCGTCGCAGCTTCGCTGCTTTTAAGACCGTCCAGAGCGAGTGGCAAGTGTTTTTCACCAACTCCCCCCCTTTGCCATGATGCGTTTGACTGGCGCTATTTGGGGAATCAACCTTGGGGAATCAACTTTTGGGACCCGTCCTACTGCTGGAAACCGCCCAAACCACAACTGCCCCCGCCCTGCTGAATTCAAGCACCCACCTCGTGGCACCAGGCCAGGATGAAAGTTGGCCTTGGATGGGCACGCATCCTACCTCGCGCGCTCCCTCGCTGGGCCGATCTTTTTTGCACTTGCGGAAGGTGCAATCTACAGGTTGTGTCAATCGATCCTTCAGCATTTGAAGGTGGGGCCTTCCTGATGTGTCAGCCCCAAAAGTCTCCCAGAGAGAAGCAAGGTTCAAGCAGGGTTCAAGATGGCTCAAGTCTAGTTCAAGCAGGGCTCAAAAAAATACTCTCTGCTTCAAGCATTGCTCAAGAATATGCCAGAAAGAACAGCCGATATTTACATATGTAAGTGTATGTATACAATATTTATATAAATACATATATGTATATAGATATACGCATACGTATATTTTTGACTCCCCGTCCTTCGCCCTCCTTGGCGCCTCCCAACCTCCATCACCCTCAGCACCCTCAGCATCACCCGCATCCCCAACAGCAGCTCGACATCCTCAGCCCCAACCCGAACCTTCACTCAGGACCAACCCGGCCCAAATCATGCAACTCTAAACCAGGCCAAACGGCTTAAACCAGCCCGTAAGCCTTCTGGACAAGCCCTGAATGCCCCAAAGTCTGCACCCTTTGTTTACAAGCGTCTATAAATGGAGTTGAAAGTAAACCACCCGCTTTAGGAAACACCCACGTTTACACGCTGGAACCTCCAATTTGAAGCGGAAAGGGCGGGCTCCTTTCGCTCTGGCGACCGGCCACAAAAGAACCCCCGAACTCGCCTGAAATAGTAGTGCTGGTGGAAGTCAATCCTCCGTCGCCTGGGAACGTCGAGCTGCCGAAGCGCTTTGCTGTGCAGAAGAGGCGTAAGTCTGAGGGGCGAGACAGCCGACCAAACAGAGGCAACTTGGAAAGACCAAGGACAAAACTTGAAAAGGGGTCTTCAAGCGGGCCACGTGCCACAGTTCCTCTTCACATAAGGGCGTTTTCAGAACTGATGAACCAATTGCAAGCTTCGCCAGTGTGGCGAGCCCAAAATTTGGGAAGATGGTTTCCAGGTTCGTTCCAGAAGCCATCCAAAAGGGGCACCCCCGTTTTCCCAAGTTACAGTGGCAGCAAGCAAACGTCACCTCGAAGCCAGTTTTTCATTCAGGCCCAGCAATTTTGGCAAGTGTTGCTTACGGCGATCAACCTTCATTGGGGTTGGGTGTCCTTTTGCCCGCCAGCAATGCAAGTGGGGGGAATCCTTTTCTTGCATGTCCTTGCTTGCCCGGTCATGGAAAAGGACCACCTGGTTTCTGGTCGCAAAGGAAACCGGGGGCTACCTCGCAACTGGAACATTACGGTGCCTATCCCATCTTGTGGGTAGGGTTTGGAGAGCCTCGGCCCCTCAGCTGGCGGTGGCTTGCTTGCCATTCCAACACCTCCAAACACACTAGGTTGACCAGATAGGCAGCTCTTTCGGGGCACCCTCTCAAACTAATAACTAAGGGAGCTATCGTCCGCAGTCAAACATGAGCGCAGTGACAACAAAGAGCAGCGGTTGAACGAACAGTCTTTGGTTGGCCAGTGTTCCACAGGTTTCGTATTTTTGTCGGGGCTTGACTTTTCACTTCTCCGAAGCTTGTTGAACCAAAAAGAACAAAGATTGCCGGCAAAGGAGAAAACAAACAACAAAACTGGGCCTGACTTAGACGCCCTGCAAAAAGCTAAACTCTTCGCTGGTTGAAATGAAAAGGAAGAAAACCCAAAAAGGCAACAGTTACAAAGGTAGGCAAAGTCTGGCACTTAAAACCTGACGCAACACATACCCGACAAGTGAATGCCAAAGAAGAAATCCGCGGCCCGATGGCATGGGCTCCCAACTGGTGCTCCATAGCTTCCATGATGTTCTTGGGCCGCAAACCCTCCCAAAGGATGGTATCCATCACCTCAGCTCGGGCCGCATGGCCTGGAGAGAGAGAGTCGGGAACACACCCAAACAAAGCCTCCAAAAGGGTTGGTCTACACAAAAGTACCTTAGAAAGATCATGTCTATGCAAAAAGAAAAAAACTCGAAAAAGGGCTCTTACACTTCTTTGGGCGTCCTTGTCATCGGTAAGAGGAACTGCTTGGCCAACTGAGCAGCGGAGACTCGAAATCCTTTTCACGCTTGGTTCTCATCAACGGAGAAAAACAACTGTTCTTAGAGGCTTCTTAATAAAAGTGCTGCTTGGATTGTTCTGAAAACCTGAATCAATTTTGTTTCACATGAAGTTCCTGAAAGGCTTCGACAACAGGCCCTCATTCCCCCTATCAAACCAGGCAGTGCCAAACGCTAGCTTTTGACCTGGGCTCTGGGGCCAAGCAATCGATAGTTGCTGCCAGGGTCAAAGAGCCTGATCAGCGGTCATTACATATTTGCCCCTGTTGCAACATGTCAGTTGCAAAAGCCGTTTTGGGATTGCAGTGGAGGCATAAGTCACTGCGATGGTGCAAAAAGGGAAGTCATTCGGACCGTCCTAAAGACTGGTGTCGTGAATCAAAGGAGGCCGAAAGGAGGATGCTGGATCACCAGCCCAAACCAACCCTCAGTTGTACAACGGCTGTGAGTCGTGCAAGGCCAATCTTAAAGGGAGGAAGACATGTGGGGCAACTCTTGTTTGGGTCCGATTTTTTTGATTGCACCTTAAATCGCACAGATTTTAGGAGGCCGCGCTTTAGTTTGAGCAGTCCCTGTTTGGGGTTACGTCTAGGGCGAGAACATGGGACCCATCCATTTTGGGTTCTTTAGTTCGGAAACCAACCCATATGGTTAGTTGTTTTCACACACCTCTCAAGCAGGTCACTGGTTAAATAAAACAAGTCACCCTAACTGCTGTTGTTTATGAGGTTTCTCAAGTGAGTCATTCTCACAACCTGGTAGTATGATCTACCCAATCGGTTTTGATTGCTGGAGTGACCACACCCCGTTGCCCACTCCCTTCACTCAGATTAGCCGAAAAATATCGCCCAACAAACGTGGAAGTGCACAAACGTCTTTTGGAAAACTAGTCCCTTTGGCCAGGCGGCGTGTGAACTCACATGGTGGTGGGCAGTGGTGATTCCTTCCGTGCCACCAAAAGTGGAAACTGGAAACAACATGCACATGGATTGCATAGTATGGATGTGGAAGATCGCCCTTTCGGTTCCCAGAAAGCATTCCCATGACCGCTTTGTCACTTTTAAGCGGATGGGTTTGGCATAACAGAAAGTGGCCCCATGTGGCCCCCCTTTCCCATCTGAATTTTAACTGGGGACCCTTTGGACATCATTTAGGTGGGAATTCCTGTCCACCTAACCGCTTCAAAGGTGGTTGCCGAGGACACAGCCACATGTTCCAAGGGCGCCGGCGTACAAAATCCAATGCTTCTCAAAGATGTCCAGGGCCGCCTGAGCAGCCGCTGAACCGCATGCCCCCCAAAAGCAAATGGCTATAGCGGTATAACCACATGTTTGTGGACCCAAACTTGCAATGCATCTGTCTATAACCAAAATGATCTTCTCAAAATGTATCACGCCCGACAGTTTTGGGAACAGAAGTTTGCAGCCGGAGTGTGGCAAGTCGGCAAGCGCTTTGAGGACCTTCAAGCTGGCCAGTCTGACAACAACTCCTTCTATGTATTCCCGGGGGGGCGGGGGGATGATGTTGCCACAATCAAAGCCAGCCCCTAAGTGGCAGGTTTGACGAAACCACCACAGTTTCTAACTTTAATAACTCCAAAAAGCGTCACATCAAGACCCCGAGTAATAGTGGATTGTGGCAACTTGCGCAAACCACCCCGAAAAGCATCTTTCCAACAAGCATGACCGGAGGAACAATCAAAATATGAAACCCCTCCCCCGCACAAACCCCTCACATCCAGGCGTTCCTCCCTTCCTCCCTTCCTCCGTTTGTGTTAGAAAATGGCTACAAGTCAAAGCTACGGACCTGTTGGTTTAGCAGGAAGCCAAAAAATTACACCCACCACCCGCAAGCCTGATAGACGATCTGCACATCATCCAAGTCCTTCTTGTCCAAGGTCTCCACCCGCGCCACATAACTGAGATTCCACGCTGAGTTTGCAAACTCACGTAAGGGACCCCCCCCCCTTATGATGGACACTTAGGGTCTATTTTTGCAACCTCCTTCTTTTCGGGAATTGTTTTTAAGGGCTTGAGCCTGCAAAATGGACCCTGGGCGTCCATGGCTCCCCCCGCCAGAAGGAAAAAAACAACTCGCATGACTCACATGAACGTGTTTTGGAGGATCCGTGCTGAGGCTGATGCCTTCCGTGGGAGTGTTCGTCCGAGGTAGGAAACGGTAGTGTTGCCGTGTGCCACACTTTGTGATTGCAGAACTGCATCTCAATCGCAATGATCTGCCAGCCTACAAGCTGACCGAAGGAGAACCCCCGGGTATCAATTGTTCTGGACTCCTCTGGGGCGGAAGTCCCAACAACTTACCCGACACATGGTGCTCGCTAGTGATTTTGCCTGGATCGGTTTTCCCCAGGGCTAGTTTTTCTTATAGGGCGGAGTTGCTCGGGGCTTGTTTAATTTGGTTCGGGTTTGGCCTTAGATCTTACACTTTGGCGAAGGTTGGCTTGTATCTGGCTTGTGTTAGGTGTGCTGCTGGTTTAGCAGGGCCTTAGGGCTGCTTCAGGATGTGGTTGAGTGAGTGTTGGATCTGGAACGGTGCTTCCGTCAAAACTAGCCCAAAGATCACGTAACTACACTCCGAAGCAACCCTAAAGCTACCACTAAACCAGCACAACTAACACAAACCACAAGCCAACCCCTAAACCCGCCCAACAGCAGCCTGATGTCAGTCCTTTGCTGAGCCCCACACCAACCCAAGATCCACCCCTAGCAAGATCTACGCCGGCCTAATGCCACCACCCAATCAGAGCCAATACACACCAGCCAACCAGCCAACCAGCAACCAGCCACCAGCCAACCAGCCAACAAGCAACCAAACCAACTGCAGGGAAACAACACCTCATCCGAGCTTCCTGACAACAAATCCCAACCCCGAAAAAAATTGGAGAAACCTTTAGGCTTCCTGGAGAACCAGGGAGGATGCGGGGAGCACGAGAGCTTCCTTGGATCTTATGTGCTGTGATCAAACTTGCTACACGGTTCCCTTACTACCAACGTGGCTGAAAATAGTCCAGAACTTGCGTGAGGTTGTCCGAAACCTGGAAGACCTTTCAATACCTCGTGTCATGGTCGCGAGATCCCCATGCTGGTCCCTTCGCATGCCCATACTATGGTCGCACCAAAGTGGGTATGGGTCAAAATTAAACCACCAGGCGACCGCAGGTTTTAGTCCCTGTTTCCACTTACCAGGGGTCCATTTTGGGTACATATTTTTGACCCACAGCCAAGTGTTGACCTCCCAACCCGCTTGAAGCTTTGCATGTCAAGTCAGTCGGGGTCCCCGGCTCCTCCTCCATGCGTAAAAGCATCTGGGTGTCCTGGCGCAACAGCTTTTTTGTGGTCGCTTTGCACGGAATGGGTCGCCCTTGTGTCTGTTGCCCTTTGTCTGTTCATGTGTGTCAGGGCAACATGTCTGTTGCTTATCCCTTTGTCTGTTGCCCTTTGAACTTCCCTTTGAAAGGGCACATGCCCATGTGTTTTGCCCCAACGAAGGGGGTCTATCCCCTTTTTGAACAACCCTGGCCATGAAATTTTGCCCGTTGGACCCTCAACAGTCGGTGGAGAAATATCCCCACGTACTTGGTGTCTGGAGGGGCCACGTCCAATTGCTCAAACGGTGGGAACTCGGCACTTGCCCCGGGCGGTTTGTTTTTGTTTGTGGAAGCAGGACCCCCCCCCCCCCGCCGGCAAAGCAACCGAACAGAAGCCACGAACCCGCATGAATGTCCCAAAGCTAGCGTGGCATGTCTATCTGTGCATGTCTGTGCCTATCCATGCTCTTGCGTGTTGACCTATTGATTTGTCTATCTATCCATCTACCTATTCATCAATACATCTGTGTGTACATCTGTTTATCTATCCATCTATCCACCTATCTGTCTATCTGTCTATCTATCTATACATTAATCTGTTTTAATCTATGTTTTGGCTACATATCTGCCTGCCTATCTATGTGCCCGCCTGAAAAACGCAAGCGTCAGAAGCGCGAGTCAGAAGGATGTAATGATTTTCGCCCCTATGTTCGAAGGACAGGGATAGGCAACCCCACCAGTTCGAGCAAATTTGGCCACATAATGCAATGACCAACTGGACATACTGCTCCAGCCATTCTCAATTCTCTCAGCGTTTCAGCGTGCCGCTTGCTTCGTTTTGAATACCAGGGCTTTCGAGCTTATATTTGGCTCCAGTTTTCCTTCCCAGCCCTGCCCGAAGGATTGCCCCACCCCCCCGCCAGAATTCGATGAGAACCCTTCAACCGAATTAAACCCGGGGTGCTTCAGCTTACATTCCTGATAGCAAGATAGATAGAAGCTAGATAGATAGCTAGATAGATAGATAGGTCAACATGGAGACAGTCAAACTGGAAAGCCTGACGCCAAGATAGCAAGCCAGACGGACAGCCGTCCTCGGGCGTGCAGTTGCCCCCACAGACCTTGCAGCTCTCGAAGCCGCCAGAGGGCACCTCGCAAGCTTAGAGATAGGGACCGAGTCCCAGCAACGGCCTCCAATATGCTTGCAACGGACAATGTGTGCACCTGGAGTCTCCATGACCCTTAATAATGGTTGGTCATTACCCAAAATAATAGGGTCATGGACCCATTTTTGAAGGGTCGTGGAGACTCCAGGTAGCATCAATTGTTGTCTTTGGGGCTTACGGCTCTTTCAGACTCTTTGGATGTCCCCTGTGACGCACACAATCCAAACTGGCATCAGCGGATCTCCACACCATCTTCTCTGTTTCCTGTCTCTTCAAATGCTGCGCTCTACGATTGGATCTGCTTGGCACATCGGACACTGCTCGCGACACATTGAAGGCTCGGTTGGAGATTGCCGGTCCGCGAGCGCCAAAGCCGCTTATCCGACGCCACTGGGATGGTCCCGCCAAAGTTGGACTCCAAAGGTTCCGAACCTCGGTTGCCCTTGTGGCCCCCGAGAAGAAGAAAAAACAACTAGAAATAAATCTAGCTCTGTTCGTCTCGCCGCGCGGGCATGTGTAGTGGTTGATTGAGATTGATTTAGGGAGGGTCTAGGTTTGGTGCAGGGGGTGTTGGTTGAAGGGCTGGTTCACGCTGGAACTTCAGTCGGCGCGGTTGGATTTGTTGTTTGGGCTCTGGAGCGACAAACGGGCCAGTCGCAAGAAACCGCGCCTTGGGATAGAGCACTCCCACGCGACAACGCTGGCACCGGACACCTCTGCCCACCTGGCGAGATCGGCTCGACCGAGTCGGACCCATGGGCCTGCGGTCTGCCAAACAAAAATAGGGCCTCAGGTATCAATGGAGCCTGCCAGAGCCCAGAACTCTCCGATCCAGAGCGCGCCGGAGCACCGCTCTGAGCCCCGAATCTTCCAGATCCCTTCGAAACCCATTCAGCCACCGCTCCGTCCTCCAAAACCCCCTTCCAACATCTTTCGCGACCACAGAAACCGTCGCCGGCAGCGCGTCAACGGTGAGGCAGCAGCGGGGGCCTCATTTCTGAGTCGGGGCTAAGCCGGACCAACCTGCCGTACTCTTTCGGCGTTTGCAAAGCCTGTACCTGACGACGTGAAACTGAGCCACGTTGTTCCCCCGCCGTGTCCTTTGAGTATGAGAGAGCAGTGGCTTGGCCTTGCCAGATCATTTTGCCTGGACAAAAATCCACCAAACATGGTGCCCTCCAAAAGACACGCCCCGAGCATAACAGGTAGTTGGCATCACCCTGCTTCCAGCAGATGAAGAAAAAAAAACGGGTTTGCCCTGCCAGCACTCTGGAGTTTTTACCAGTCTCAAAATCACCCAAAGTGCTAGGTCGGAACCCCAGCAAGAACCGACGTTTACCCAACAAGAACTGATTTTGGCCCAACAAAAACTGACTTCTCTCCCCCAACCTCCCCCGAACTGCCAAACCCACAAGCCCAAGTTGCTTTCCCTCGGAACCAAGATGTTGAATGTGGAGAGAGAGCCCACATCCGTCGGAAATTCCAGAACGAAGCACGAGGCGCCGGCACGCGCAGGTGAACTTCCTGGGCCCGGAGCGACTTGATCTTCCTTTAACCAAGCCTGAGGGTACCCTCCAAACAAGAACGCCCAAGTTCCATGGGGGCAACCTGGCAAAGAAACCTCAAGCCGCGTTTGTGCTTTCCATAGGCCTCCCCAGTTTTGAATGGCCCCGAAAAAGCCAAAGCAGCTGCATCTTTGCTATTGTTCAAAGACACGCCGGGGTGGTTTGTTTGCAGTTTGTTTGCATCCAGGTTGCAAGTGTTTTAGTGTTGTTCGTGTGTCTGTTTGTGTGTTCGCGCTGCTAAGACGTTTGGTGTAGGTTTGCCTATAAGTATGAGCGGCCATAAATCTCTGCGATTAGTGCTGCGACTTTTTGCCTAGTGAGATCCCGAATTACTAAACTTGAGCTGAACATCCGCTCGTCCAAGAGTAGTGCGCCTTTGGTGTTATTTGTGATATGATTTTCTTTTGCCCGTGAGAAAGCTGCAATCCCTCCTGCACAGATCGCAGGTCAGTTTCTTCAGCTCAGACAGCCCCATCCGTCGTTGCAAACAGAAAGAAGCCGACCATGTTGAAGGGGTAAGAGACCCATTCCAGGAGGCACCTAAGCATGGCCTTTCATGAAAACGGGCGTGTTGCAGCTTGTCGGGCACTGGAAACAAAACCGGACGCCGCACAACTCTTTGTAGTATCTTCCGATGTGGCACTCAATCCCCATGTCTTAAGACATGGTGGGGTGCCGTAGTCCGCCAATTTCTCCTCTTGTTGCTTCGCAACCTCCCTTGTTTCACAACCTCCTCTTGGTTTCGGTGGACGGCCGGGGGTGGTGGTTTAAGCATGTGTTTTCCGTCAAACCAATCCCCTAAAAAGGGGTATGGAACCTGAAACAGCACACCCGCCCACACACACCCACACACACCCATACACACACACCCACCCACCCACCCACCCACCGTCACCCACCCACCCACGCACGCGCACAAACAACGAGACGCTCCAGAGAAGTCGACGGCAACCAGCGTCGGTCACACAGTTTTTCACCACACTGCCTCAAGTGGGTGGGATCGTACCTGTTGGTCGATCAGCATGTATTCTCTGGAGTCGTTGTCGGTGTCTCTTAGACTCGAAAAGAGTACAACACATAAAAGGTAAGCAAATGCCAAAAGCATGCAAACCAAAACGTTGTACAGCAAGGTATCGAGAGGGAGTGGACGTTCTCCTGTCGTAGGTCAACTCCCGTCGAAGGTGAAGCCGAAGGCGAGCGACCAAGACAAAGAAGATGAAAAGAAGTCCTTACCACAGGGCAGGTCTGTCGGTCTCTCACGGGACGTGGAAAGCCCTTGGCCACATTGTGTGATGTGGGATTGGTGGAACTTTTGGAGTTCCGGCATTTCGTCGAATCCGACGTTGTGCGCAAATTCAAGGTCGCCTATGACGCGGCACGTGCGTCTGTGCAACGCATGCATCGGTGGCTGCAAAATATGCCAGCCATGTTCATGAGCCAAGGACATATCATGGCGGCTGAATGGGTCAGCAAAATTGGTATGTGTGGGTACACTTGCAATGTGCAATGTGCAACTGCAGTCGTTGGCGACTCCAGGTATGTGCTGGTCGGCCATGGTCGAAAGATGACCGGGGCGATCAATGCTGCCCACGCCTCGAGAAAATAGGTGGCGTTGGTCCCGAGGTTCGGGGGCAGTGCGACGGACACGATTTTGGCCGGACCCTTGTGTGGGGTGAAGAGCACGGCAGCCCATCCATTGTCTAGGGACCAGTCTGACGGGAAGGCGATTTGGCCGGCCCGCCAAGTTGGTTCGCCTTGTTTGCAAAAGGCGTCTGTGTAAATGATGGCGAGGGCTTGGGTCGTGTCATGGAGTGCGATGCTCCGGGGGGAGCTGTGTTGGAGAATGGTGAGCAGGCACAGGATGGCAGCTCGAGTGGGTTTGTCGATCTTATCCGATGCGCCATGGGCTTTGTGGTACAGAGCCGCAAGGGCTGATCTACCCACTCGGCCGAAAAGGTGTCCCGTGACGAAGTTACACTTCATTCCTGCGCGGCGTGCCGTGTCGCAGTTCATATGCCCTTGTTCGAGGCATTGAGACAGGGTTTGTGTCAGGTGTCTCACGCGGTCCGGGCAAGGTCGTAAGGTTGCCTTTGTGTCGGACAGGTCGATCCCAGAGAGCCCAAAACTCCTTAAATAAGAAAATGCCTTAAATAAGCAATAATTATCTTAAAGCACATTGCTATTTAAGGCGTTTTTCCACCTTATTTAAGCAATGTTTTTTAAGAAAACATTGCTTAAACTGTCTGGCTTCAATGCTGCATGTGCAGAACATGGGTCCTGCTTAGGATCCTTGAAAGCTCCTTTGCAGGAGTCATGTTTATGTTAACAAGTTTTTGCTCAAGCTGCCCTTAGCTGGCAATGGCTTTGAAATAAGGTGTTTTTTCCTCCTTCGACGGAGGCATGGGAAAGCACATAAGTCACTATTCTCAGGAGACAAGTTATCCATGACATTCTGCTTAAGCAATCAGCTTTTGCAAACATCCTCAAGCAAGCTCCCATTGTGGGACCAGAGAGAGAGAAAGGTGTATTGACACCTCCTCTTCTTTTGGAAGATTCTATTTTCTGGCTTCCATGCTGCATGTGCAGAACATGGGTCCTGCTTAGGATCCTTGAAAGCTCCTTTGCAGGAGTTGTATAATAGCATGTTGCTTCGCAAGTTTTTGCTCAAGCTGCCTTTAGCTGGCAATGTCCTGGCTGGGAATGACCAGGCGCTGGGGCTGGTGCTCCGCTGGTGGGGTTCCAGAGCCTTCTCCTGATCCTCCTAGCTGGAACAGAAGATGCAATGCGTGTGGGGAAACCGCTTGCCTCAGACAGGGCGTCTGCTGGAATGAAAGGCGTTTTTCAATACATAACTTGCATTCTTTCAGAGGAATGGTCTCATGCTCCAGTTGAACCGTCGCCCGCAAGGCCTGAAAACCCATTTTCAAAAGAAAACAACCAACCTGTGTGGATCTTGGAGTGGCCTCGGACTTCATAGGGAACCTGATGCAGCTGCTTTTAAACAGGTTCCCTGGCTCCACTGCCAAAGACCAAGCAGCAGCTATGCATAGAAACATCTTGTCTTTTTACATGAGGGTTCCTCCCAGCAACAGACCGGATCATTTAACACCATTGATGATCAAGAAGCCGGGCAACAAAAGCCCAAAACTTCAAGGGAATGCCGGAGAAGTTCGATCACTGGTCCCTTGGGCTGTAGAGATGCCCAAGACAGCTATGAGTCAACAGTGCTTGAAGCTGCTCACCTGCTCAGCCAGTGCTATTCCTGTCTTAGCAGGGAAAGGTAGGACAAAGAACTGTTCAAAACATCCTGCAGGAAGTTTTTGTTGCTATGTAGGCCTTGAACAGCAAGCCACACAAGCTGGGATTTGTGCTTGGAGATTCAAACCAAATTCCATTTGATGCAGGGGCTTGCAGAATGTATATGGAGACGAGGATTATGGGGGAAGCTTATCCGCTTCTTCTAAAGAAGAGGAGGTGTCAATACACCTTTCTCTCTCTCTGGAAATGTTCTGGCCCAATTCTGTGCCCAGAACAAGGTCCCACAATGGGAGCTTCCTCGAGGATGTTTGCAAAAGCAAATTGCTTAAGAAGAATGTCATGGGTAGCTTGTCTCCTGGGAATAGTGACTTATGTGCTTTCCCATGCCTCTATTCAAAGCCATTGCCAGCTAAAGGCAGCTTGAGCAAAACTTGCAAAGCAACATGCTACTATACAACCAAGCCAAACATGTCAACATTGACTCCTGCAAAGGAGCTTTCGAGGATCCTAAGCAGGACCCATGTTCTGCTCATGCAGCATTGAAGCCAGAAAATATCAGCTTCTTCCAAAACTCTCTCTCTCTCTGGAAATGTTCTGGCCAAATTCTGTGCCCAGAACAAGGTCCCACAATGGGAGCTTGCTTGAGGATGTTTTGCAAAAGCTGATTGCTTAAGCAGAACGTCATGGATAACTTGTCTCCTGAGAATAGCGACTTATGTGCTTTCCCATGCCTCCTTCGAAGGAGGAAAAACACATGATTTAAGCAATGTTCTTTAAGAAAAAACTCCTTAAAACCTTATTTAAGCCATGTTTGTATTTAAGGAGGCTTCGGCTCTCTGGGATGAAGACTCCTTGAATCTTGTGCGACGGAGCTGGTGGTTGTTCATTGGAGGCTTTCATGTGGAAGCCGAGTAGCGAGTTCAGCTTGCTGAGTGCCCTGAAGGAGCTGTGTGAGATGCTCGTGGGTTGAATGGCTCCGTAGTCATCGACATAGAGAAGGGCAGGTGTGAGAGTGAGTACCTTAAAGCGGTCAGAGCGTCTCCAAATTGGTTGTAACCCCAAACGCTGGCAGCGGACCTGAAGAGTAACACGTGGTGATCCGTCTGCTGTGAGGAAGAACATATGCTACCTCCGGTTGTGCAAGGGGGAGCTGCCGGTATGCGCCGGCATTCGTGCCCCCACACATGTAGTTGTTGGTGGGGGGCGGTGTACTGCCGTGCACACTGTATGTAGTGGTCTGGTGTATGGTGATATGGTTGGTCGTGCATGGAGCATGTTTGGTTATATGTCCGCTGCGGAACCCGTCTGTTGTATGCTGAAAGCAATGGCCACGATGGGATCAGGGTGTGGTAGTGGAAGGAGTGCGTCGGTATGTTTGAAGGTGCGCAGGGGCACTGTGTTAAGTGGCCAATGTGTTGGAGCTAAGAAGGGGCCTGCCATCCGACCCTGTTCGACTTCCTTGGCTATTTCGGTGGCCATGAAGGTCCAGCGGTCATCGACCTTGTGTTGTTTGAGTTTGTGCTGAATGTAGCCGTGGTTGAAGGAGCGCAGTTACACGGGGTCAAGTATACGTGTGGTCTTGGCGAATGTGCCAGTTGACCCCTGGTCTCAAATTGGCCGAGTAAGTCAAAGCCGTTCGACATCTCTTCGTGCAGTGATTGCGTCGGTGGGTAATCGACCATGCGAAGGAGCCTGGTCAGG